ATATAAAGTTTGTAATTCAAGTCTTAGACCTAATGGAGTTAAATAAAAAAAAAAGACAACAACAATAAAAAAATCAAATTAAAAAAGAAGTAATTATAATAATATGCTTTTTTTTTAAGAGACAAATAATATAGCTTGAACAATATACCTCAATTCCTAATCTATAAAATATGGAAGGATAAATTTTTGATGAGTAGAGTAAAATCATGAAAAATATCATTTTAATAAACATTGTTTTCACTTATATGCTATTGTGTTTTTTTTATAATTGTTTAACTTTTAATAATAAATATTGTGATATTTGTATACAATTAGCTTTAGGATTGGTAATCATGAGTCATTCAAGGTTTTGGGAGGAAACATGATGTAAATTATATTTTTAAAAATTAATATTGTATTTTTTTAAAAAATAATTTTTTTAATTAATTTTTTATATTTTTAGATTATTTTGATATATTGGTATTAAAATTATTTTTTTAAATACAAAAATTTATTTTAATATATTTTTAAGTAAAAAAACATTTTAAACCATCACTGCTAATATAAATTGAATTCATTATATAAAATTATTATATAAATACTAAAAAAAATTATTTTTTAATATAAATTGAAAGACACACACACACACACACATATATATATATATGCCCTATATTTATAAAAAAAATATTATATTTTTATAATGTGAGAGATAAGAAATATTTTTTTATTTAAATACTTCAACTTAAAAATAAAAAAATAATATCTTTCAAATGTAAAATAGAAAAACATTTTAAAATAATTTTTTACACTTTATTATTTATAATATATATATAGCCTTTATTCATATGGATTGTTTTTTTAACTATTTCATGTAAAATATTAAAAGCTAAAATATTTTTAAATTTTTTTTAGATTGATCCGAAATCCAATCTTTGATCAAATTAACCTTAAAATCAGGTTTAATAACTAATTACTTAACTAAAAATAATTTGGTATTAGCCCGAGCAGCTACATACATGGGTCAAAATGGGTGGCCATATAGATGTCACACATTGTTGAAAACTACTTCCCATATTACATTGTAAAAGTGGCTGGTTTTTGCAACGGTTAAGTCCATATTTTATTTTCATATTAATAAAAAAAATTAAAATTAAAAGAAAAATAATTAAAATTTTTAATTCAATTGAATTCCATAAATATTCTATACAATATTAATTAATTATATGGTTTAATATTTTCATTTAAATATAAAAATATAATTTATTATCAATTTAATTCAAATCATATATAAAATTGAATTCAATGTTAATTTAATAGAAGAAAAATAGCAAAAAAAATTAAAAAAATTGAAAAAAATCAAGAAAAACCCATATTCTTTGATATATATATATATATATATATATATATGTATGTTATTGAATCTTTTTGGCCATCATATTTTCTACTAATATAGAGACATTTTTGAAACAGCGGTCAGCAAGAGAGATTTCATAAAGGATTTAATTCCCTGCAACTTCGTTTTTTCACCGAATCTGCAAGAATTTCTCATAAAGTATTGATTACCTGTTGACCATCCAATTATTGGGTAGTCGGTGAACTGGCGGGGGGAGCATTTATTAGTTTTTAGCAGGAATATCTTCATGCATGCACTCCAGAACAGGCAGCAATTGTTATGGGCCAAGGCAGATTGAATTCCCTTAGATAATCAAATCGATTGCCTGTCCACTTGGGACACGATCATATATATTAACAGGTGGGGTTAAGTGATAACAACCTGAAATTAAAAGAGTTTGTTTTTTTTATTATTTTAGATTTGAATTTTTAGTTGTTTATAGGGTGATTATTAGAGGTTTATATAATTATTAATTTTAGAATTTATAAAATTAGTCATGCTACGTGTGTAAACATACATCTTAATCTAAAAAAAATTTGGATTTTGAACATGTAGCTACTGGCCAGTGAAAGAGAATTATTCGTCTTATTTTCCTCTTTGCATTTGGAAATATAGTCAACTTTCCAGATGCGCCATGCATGAGAGGAAAGTAAAAGCTGAAAAGATTAATCACCATGAAGAATAAAGTGGCCTCGTTTTCTGAATCCATGCAGAACTGAAATGGTTGATTACTTATGAAGGTTGTTTGGTGTTCTTATAAATGCCCGAAGTGGTGGTGGACATTTGGCTTTAGAAGAACTTAATTGCAGCTGAACTTTCAGACGAGGAAACACAGAAGAGAAGGGCTTTATTGCGGATTAGTTTCATAATGGCAATACATAAATCCGAGTAAATGGGAAGCACCGAGGTGAAATTTATGAGAACGTAAGTTTACAACATTAAGTGTAGAAACTGACGTAACAAAAAGATGCTTTAGAATTGAAGCTGATATTTTTCTAGTTTACTTGCATTGGCCATTTCATTTGCCGCCACCACCACCGCCCGAACCACTTCCAGATCCATGGCCAGCACCAGCCCCAACTCCTACACCAATGCCAATCCCAACTCCAAATCCTCCACCAGCTCCACCGCCATGCCCACCTCCTACACCTCCACCTCCACCAGCACCACCACCTAGACCTCCACCAGCTCCACCGCCATGCCCACCTCCTACACCTCCACCTCCACCAGCACCACCACCTAGACCTCCACCAGCTCCACCTCCTAGACCTCCACCTGCTCCAAAGCCACCACCATGGCCTGATCCACCACCTAGACCTCCACCTCCTCCACCACCTCCACCACCACCTCCTCCAGCAGCACCTCCGGAGCCACCACCTACACCGCCTCCAGCTCCAAAGCCCCCACCATGACCTGAACCACCACCAATACCACCGCCACCACCTCCTCCTCCACCTCCTCCTCCAGCACCACCAGCACCTCCAGCTCCACCTCCTACCCCTCCTCCAGCTCCAAAGCCTCCACCATGTCCTGACCCACCACCAACACCACCTCCACCACCTCCACCAAAACCACCACCTCCACCAGCACCACCTCCACCTCTGCCACCAACACCTCCTCCAGCCCCAAATCCTCCACCATGACCAGTTCCACCTCCAACACCTCGTCCTCCACCACCACCAAAGCCACCACCTCCTCCAACACCCCCTCCAGCACCGCCACCAAGCCCTCCTCCGCCTCCAGCTCCACCACCAAAGCCACCACCTTTACCACCACCACCACCAAGTCCGCCTCCTCCTCCAGCTCCACCACCGAATCCACCACCTCTACCACCACCACCACCTCTACTTCTACCACCACCACCTCTACCTCTACCACCACCACCACCAAGCCGTCCTCCTCCTCTAGCTCCACCACCTCTACCACCGCCACCTCCTAGTCCTCCCCCACGTCCACGACCAAAGCGGCCTCCACAACGTCTTGGATTCCACCTACAATCATCGTCTCGATATCTAGTTTGGTCAAGCTTGTCATCACCAAGGCTGATTGCACTCAAATGAAGGACAATGCACAAGAGAAGCAGAAGAAAAGAAACCCATTTTGATGAGATCATTGAACCCATGGCCTTGTGCTTATGCTATACTAACAAGGTTCTTTCCAAGCAGTGCATGTTCTTCTTTGCATGAAAAGTCTCCTATATATAGGGTTTATCCACTGCATTATTTGGGCAAGTTCACTGAAGAGCCTTCAATTGTTGCATCTTAATGTGACGCGTTGGAACCGTTGGGTCAATGGCGAGAGCATTTAATGATCAAATTAAAGTCACAACCCCAGATCACTTTGCATACATACAACGAGGGCGGATTCGGGCGGGGCAAGTGGGCTGACCTCTGCAAAAATATTTATTTTTTTCCAGAATTATATACATATATTTTATATGTGTGGCCCAATAAAATTAAATAAATTTTAACCCTCCTGAAAATTTTATATATATCTATATATAAACTCACAAAAGAAACTGCCAAAAACATTAAATTAGAAGCGGCGGATTCATTCACATGCCTTGTTGTTAGCATAATTAGAGTACTAGATTTCTTTCTAATCAGGTTTTACCTGTGTTTTATTCACTTGATTTTATCTTATTACAACTCTTTTAGTATTTAAACTCTTTAATTAAGATAACACGAAGAGTAAATTCGTTTACAAACCAGTTTAAGTTCCTTAAGATAACACTGCACGCGTAAATATTTACATATAAAACGAGAGGAAATCATTTTCAATAAATGTAAGCACTTTTCTTTTTTCAACACCCGAGTTTAGAGCTATGTCCACCGTGTAGTCAAGATCAGTTTTTGAGTTACAGATTGGGTAGCTCTCTCTCATCTTTAAATTACGTACTATCATGTTTCATTAATGATTTGAACTTAGAGACCTTTAGATGAAACGTTCATGTGTTGATGCTACTAGCTAGACTTTAGCTATTAAAGGAGAAATTATAGAAATTACATATAGTTCTGGGATAAGATGGATATCCCATATAATCATTTGCGTAGCTGGATAAGCATGTGAGTCACTCAATCCACCTAAGCTTTGCCCAGTTGCCCATACAAGCGCGCGCGTGTACTATTACGTTCTTAATTAGTCAATTCTGGCAACTCATCTCTGCTGGAACTAGCTGCGCATGGAGTTTTTATCATTTATACCAGTTCTCAATCTGTCTGAGCAAGAGTTCCACCGACTACAGTAATGAAATATTGAACATAAGGGATTGTTTATCAGATACATGCTGTGGTCTTTGAAATATAGTTCAAAGACAAATAAAGTAAAAGTATTTCTTCAGAGATTCACGTCTTCAACGTCCTAGTTAATGCACTCGTTCATCGCCCATGCTTGTGCTCCAAAGTGCAAACATTTCTACGATGGTTTCCTGACCAGACCATCCGTATACTGACATGTTTGGGAGCCACTAATTAATTTGTACATGCTCCATTGGATCTTTAATTGCTTTTCTGTAGATAAAAGAGTCTATGGCATTCTCCCTTGATGGGCTAACTACTCACATTGATGAAGCGCCCACAATAGAAAGGTCAATGACCCTCCTATTAAAGAAGGTGACACAACGCAAGAATTAATTTGCAGCAACAACCAAGTCTAGAATCATGCTTTGTAAATTGATACATTTAAGAAAATATATTTTGTCCTTAAATAACTTTTGATAACTGTATATTTCCTTAGATAAATTGGTAAGGTTAGTATGAAACAACATCCTAAGGATCAATGAAAGTATATTGAAAATGTCATTGTGAACTCTTGAAATATTACTACTATATATAGTATCACAACATCATATCTTCAACGAGAATTTAATTCTCATTTCACACATGTTTTTCACAAATCAGCCTATCGTTTTTCTAGAACTCTCTTTTGTTATTTTCAGCATCACAACTCAGATCAATGAGAAACTCACACCCTTATCTTTTCCTCAACATCGAGCATAATTTGAGGCTCTCCTAATTAGCTATGATCTAATGGATTATGTCAATGGAGAATCACAATGCCCCTCTTTTGATGGCACCCTACTATCTATGGCTATGAGAAACCGCTGGGTTAGGCAAGATAAGCTAAATTTTAGTGTCATTCTTGCATCTACCTTACCAACAATCACGTCTTCATTGCCACAGCCAAAACCTCATATGAGGCAAGAAAAAAATTATCAACTTTGTATGCAAGAAAATCGCGTACAAAGGTAATGCAACTCAAGAAAGAACTAACCTTGATTCATTATGGAAATCGACCAATCCCAGAGTATCTTTATATGGTTAAAAGTTTGGCTGATGAGATTGCTCTCATGGATCACCTTATCTTCGACGACGACTTAACCCTATATGTCCTCTAGGGGTTAGGTCCCAAATTCCATGAGATTGCCGCTCCTATTCGAGCAAAAGAAAAATCCCTTGCTTTTAAAGAGCTTAATGGTCTACTTGTTGGGCATGAGAGCTATTTAAGGAGGATAAAGGCTACTATATAACAGCTCGTGGCTGCTGCAAATTTCATCAACCATCGTTCTGGTTTCCCTACCACCTAACAACCGTGGGGAAGTAACAAAGGAAACTGACCTTTATGTTAGCAAAGTCACTATCGTTCTTTAAATGACCCATCTCGAGACTAACAGTATAACAATATTTTGAGCCACATTATGAGTATGACAACACTGATCAAGTTCTTCCTGGTGAATGTACAAGTTTCGTTGTTACACATATTGGTTCTTTAGCTTTACCCACATTTATTTTTTTTTTCATTTACATCATACCTTATGTTTCCCTAAATTCACAAAAACCTCATTTTAGTTCATCATTTCACCAAATATAATAATGTTTTTCTTGAACTTCACTCCTTTTATTTTCTTATGAAGGAACAACCCACAAAGGCAATACTTCTAAAAGGTAGTTATAAGAATGGCATCTACATGTTTCCAAACTCATTGATGGGTTTTTTCCACTCTAAAAAAGGTTGTTTATGTGCATGAACAAACTTCAATTAATGGGTGGCACAAATTTTTTAGACACCCCTCGATTAAAGTTATTCAACATCTTGTCACTTTATTATCTCTTCATGTTTCCACAAACAAATTCCCATCTTCATGTAATTCTTGTTTAATAAATAAAGCACATTAACTACCTTTTGGTTCTACAAGTTTCCAAAGTCATTCTCCATGTGAAATTATATACATTGATGTTTAGGGTCCCGCTCACATCAATAGGTTCAGTGGTGCACGCTATTATCTTATTTTTATGGATCAATATATAATATATATATAATTTTGTCCAATGTTTGCAAAATCTCTTGTTTCTAGCATTTTTTCCCAAATTAAAATGCTTATTGAAAAATGGTTTCAGTCTACCATCAAAAGTTTGTGCTCAAACAATGGTGGCGAATTTCTAAGTTCAAAACACTATTTATTCAATTATGATATAAGCCAATACACTACTACTCCCTAGACTCCCCAACAAAATGGTGTTTCAAAAAGGTATCATTGTCATCTTATAGAGACAAGCCTTACCTTGCTTCATGATGCTTCCTTACCGTTCTTTTATTGGTTGCACGCATTCCAAACCACCACTCATCTCATAAATCGCCAACTAACTCCTTTCCTCTAAAATAAGTCCCTATTTGTTTTTTTTTTTGTCAATAAGTAAATTATCTCAAATTATCAAAATTTAGATGTTTATGCTATCCCCTCATAAAGCCATACAACACTCATAAATTACAGCCAAAATCCATTCCTTCTATTTTCATAGGATACTTACAAACTTCAAATGCATAAAAATGCATAAACTCATTAACATAACGGATCTATTTGTCCAAACATGTGACTTTCAATGAAACCTAAAGCCTAGTTTCCATAAAAACTCCCACTTGACCTAATATCTAGAGCTCGTCCACCTGACCACACCCATTTCTTCTTGAAGCTAACCTCGTGCCCTAATATTTATCCCTTTGGTCCTCCTGTTTCTATGCAAAAACTATTGCTATCATCTTTGTGCCACCTCCGGGTATACTTCCATCTCTCTTTACTCCTCTTTATAACTCTCATGAAGCTCTACATGATAAGCATTTAAATTTACATTATGGTTAACATGATTTTACGTTGCATGATTCTTTCCCCATCATCCTACATCTACTTCCATTTCTAATTGAAAACCTCTCAACCTGTACTCATTTCATGACTACTCGATCCATGAATAATATTTTTAAACCCAAACAATTGCACACTATCTTTAAACATTCTCTTCTATCACCTATAAAACCAACATGTATAAGTCAAGTCATATCTCACCCTGAATGGCATGCAACCATATCCAGTGAATTAACAGCCCTCATAAATAATGGTACAACAGATTTAATTCCCCCACCCAAAGATTGAAAGCGAGTGGATTGTAAATGAGTATTTAGAGTCACAGAAAGCAAATGGCTTCGTTGGTAAATTCAAAGTTCGACTTGCTGCAAAGGGTTATAATCAACATCTTGGAGTTGATTATAAATAAACTTGTAGCTTGGTTGTTAAACCAACCACCATAAAGACTATGCTGAGTATTGTCGTCATGAATGGTTGGCCCTTAAGACAAATGGATGTAAATGATGGATTTTTACATGAGACTTTATCTGAAATAGTTTACATGATACAACCTCCAGGTTTCAAAGATTTGTCCAAACCTAATTGTGTCTGTAGATTAAGAACAAAAATTTATGGTCTAAAACAAGCCACTAGGGTATAGTATTCAGCTTTACAAAATGCTCTTCTATAATTTTACAACTGATTCCTTGCTATTTGTTTATTTTAATAACTTCATTATCTACTGTTTCCTTGTTTATGTTAATGATTTGATCATTATAAGGAGTGACAATAAGTTTATGGCTGATGTTGTTAACACAGTTGGTGCTTTTTTTTTTTTTTTTTAAAGATATGGATTCACTTCACTACTTTTTAGGAGTCAAAGTCATTCAACCATTGTAGGTTTATTTCTCTCTCAACATAAGTATGTTCGTGATATCTTAAAGAGTGAAAACATGGCTGGAGCAAAGGATTTCTCAACACCTCTTTCTGCTACTCAATCTCTTCATTTGTTAGATGGAATAACATCAGTAAACAGTACAAAGTAGAGGCGCATCGTTGACAGTCTATAATATCTTTTCTTAACTTGTCTAGACATTTCTTTTGAAGTGAAGAAGCTTT